GTGCTTGGGGTCGGGCTGCAATCTGCGAAGCTTCGTGCATGGCTCGTTCTACGTTCGCAGCTGCATCGTCCAAAGGTTCTGTTTCGGGTAGCTTCGAACGTGCCTCAAGATACTTTTCCCCAAATGTTGTATCCAACTTTGGTGGCCCCCTCACCGTGGCCAGGCAACATGATCGCTTTGGTTCCTTCTTGAACGTATGCTCGAAGTACACGCTCAACTTTGTATGCCGGGTCGGCAAAGATGTTGTGCGGTCGCTCCAGATATCCCGCACCATTTTCATGTTGGTATTTCCCACCAGACAGAAATCAAGTTGTGCAACATGCTCTGGAGAAGGTGCGCTGCTAGCGTCCACGCCCTGGGCAGGCTGGAAGTACGTGACCGTGTTGTTGGCGGCGTGCTCGAAAAACGTGTTGCCAATCATGGAGCTCGTAGCCCTGCACGTCTGGATTGCGCCAGCCGTGATGGTGGAGGCGATTCGTATAAGAAATCTCCAATTGCGCCTTCTTCGCCCGCCTCTCGCACTTATAGCCAGCCGGGCATTGAAATCTCCATAACCAAACGTGCATGTGTGAGAACCAGGGCGCTTCCAGGCCTTTGTGAAAGAGTCGAAGAACGATTTCCGCTGCTCGTAGTCCTCGCCAGCATGTAGTGCATACCCACACAGTATATATGCTACGCCACCAATTGTTTTGATTCTCGCTGAAATTAGCCTGTCGCCCAGCAGGCAAAAAATGATGACGGAAGCATGGCCAGCTGTGTAATGACGAATCCGACGCCTGAGTAAAGATATCCAGTATGCTCTTCAAGGGTCCCGGACAATATTACTAAATACCCATTCCGCATGCAACGACAATATTCTTTGCAATGTGCTACTTGCATACACAAAATAGCAATATCAAGTTGTACCATGTGGTAAAACATCTTATCCAATTTCCCATAATCTTTTCAAAGCCCTTGAACGTTCCAAATGGCAACAACTTGGTGTTCTTAAGGTCTGCATTTTTTCTTGTAGCAGCCCCACTTCCCCGGGACTGTTTGTTTCCAGCGTCCACTCCCCGATTTGGAGTTCATTGTGCTGTCGATGCGTTGGTGTTTACTCAGACCGTCGGCTTCTTTGTCCGTGCTGTCTGAGCTGCCGCCTTCATGTCCGAAACCTTGGGGGCGCAGAACAAGAAGGTCATGGCGATCAGCAGTTTCAGGATGAGGGAGAACATCTGCATCTCCATGGCTTTGTCCGCAGGAGCGGCTGGAGGTCGATGTGGAGGGTGGTACAATAGACGGGCGTGCCGTCCCACGCGAGAAGGTTGGTGAAACCGCCGATGGTTCAAGCACGAGGGTATCTTTGCCCAATCTTGCCCAATCGAGAGCACGAGGCGCCTGAAACTTACGGGCCCAGAAACCACGGCACAACTCGTCGTTATCCGATACAAAGACGAAAGGCCCGGTTGAGTAGCGAACCCCCGTGACGAGACAGAAACGTTCGCCTCTGGGCACTGTCTGCTGCATCCTAGGAAGCGGACCGTAACGGCATCGAAAGGAAGGAGTGGGAGCAGGACTGACCGACGCGATGGCTACTCCAACTCTCCTCAGCCTCGGGACGTGGGTGTCACAACCGCCCGAGGCGTCACCATGCAAAATGAGGGGCTCCAGCTCTGAGCCCTTACCGAAAACACCTGAATGCACCTCCTCATTTGGGTGACTGCTGATTCAAGTCTAATGTGCGGTGGGAGGGTCCACTGCAGTCATGTGCTGAGGCATGAGCCCTCTCATCCTGAAGCGTTCGAGGCTCTCCGCCTGGGTGAGTGCTCGGTGCGCTAGACCGAGGGAGTGTGGAAGGAGGATGGAGGGAGGAGGGATGAAGGTATGGAGGGAGAAGGGAGGAGGGAGGATTGAGGAGGGGGAGGAGGAGGAAGCCTGGCGCGCGCGCGTGCTGGGCTCCTCCCAGAAAGGCGTCTCGGCGGGCAGGTCCGGCTGCCTGTCCCCCCCTGCTCCTCTTCCTCCTCCTTCTCCTCCTCATCCTCCTCCGCCATCCCCATCCTACTCCTCCTCCTCCTCCTCTCCCGTCCTTCTGGTCCCTCCACCACTCTTCCTTCTTCTCCTCCTCCTCCTCCTTCTCCTCCTCTCCTCCTCCTCCTCGTCCTCTTGCCCCTTCTAACCTCTTGCCTCCTCCCCGTGCCCCTCCTGCTCCTCCTCCAGCTCCTCCAGCTCCTCCTCCTCCCCGCCTTCCTGGGCGGCCCTTGGCAAGCCAACGATCTTGGAATCTGCGGCGCGCCGGCCGCCCCCCCAAGGCTGCCGATCAGGCAGGCTCAGGCATGTTCCTTGCCGGGGGCGGTCACTGAGCAGAACCCGTGGCATCTGTGGCCCTGGCCTCCTCCACCTCCTCTGGGAGGAGGTTCGGTTCAGGTCCAGTCGTCCTCGAGGGCGCAAGTCGAGCTCGCAACTGCCAGACGAATGCCCTTCTTTTCGCTTATACATTCTGCGCTGGCTGCAACTCGGCAATCGCACCGCTTAATGGGCGTCTCCAGGTAAATCCTCCCTTCCAAGCATTCCACTGACCGGGGGATGCCTTTGCTCCGATCACCCAACCACGCGTGCTATCGCTACATGTGCCCCCCGTCGGAATTAAATGTTTTTCTTAGAATCCTGGGGTCGGTCACGCGCATGCGCGTATGTATCGGAATAAACGGAACCCATGACAATGGCTCGATTATCAATTTCATGGACAATCATGCAGTGCTGTCGATACTTATGCCTGAGCCAGGGTGCCCTCGCTCAAGGGCGCCCTCGCTCAACTGGAAACGTCCACTCCGTGCGATGACACACATTCAAGGCATGTTCATGCAGCGTTAAGCTGGAAATTGATGGCGAGGGTGGTTACAATTGCAAGATCACTGCACCCAGCCGATCGGGTTCAAGCTTTCCCCTGGACGGTCAAGAGAAACACCCTGTGCTCTGAGCACTGGCACTGCTGCCACACTGCTGGCTTAGGGTTCGAAAGGGGCTCGCTGTTCCTCAAGCGCTCACTTTGCACGCATGCGCATGTGCGGCCACACCATGGTTTCGGTCCTTCCTCAATGTTCCGCTTGGTGGTGGCTCGACTGCAGCAGACCCCCTCCTTCTGCCGTGCAGCCTCCCCGCAGCTCCGCCGCCCCCGCCTCCTGCGGCCGCACGCCGAGCCGAGCGTAGCGCCCATTGCCGCGGCGCGGCGCCGACGCCGCGGCCCCCCGCCCGCCCCTGCCCCCCCGCACCCTCCGCTGCTGTTATAGCTAGAAATAGGCCTCGTTCCGTCGTCGTCCTCCTCGCCTCTCGTTTCCTCCTTCCTTTCCCCCAACATCTTGCTCATCTTGATTCCGCCTCCTCCTACGGCTTACTACCTGCGACCTGCTTCCAGCTACCTCTGAGCCGCCACCGTGCCTGTGGGCACGGAATGGGCGTGTTCCCTCAGGTCCTGTGCCCCATCACCTGAGCCTCGGTCCTCGATTCTGAGGGTTCTTCAGGGGCCCGGACCCCAAAGTGCCCAATCTTCTTAGGCTTGCCGCGTGCCCCCCGGGGTTCTCGCGGCCTGTCGCGTGATTTGTTCGGGCCCAAGAGGGCCCCAACCTGGGCCAAGAGGGCCCCGAGACGCCCCAAGATGCCCAAGATGGCCCAAAGGCCTCCGAGACGCCCCAAGAGCCCAAGAGCTTTCTGAGAGGGCAACATCATTGATCTTCCATACGTTTCTTCGATGCTTTGGGAGTCCTCGGCTTTCTGAGCTCCCGACGCTCCAAGATGGCCCAAGAAGCCCCCAGGACCGCCCCAAGTTGGCCCAAGAAGCCTCCCATGAGGGTCACAACACGGCCCAAGAGAGCCTCAAGACGGCCCCAGAGGCGCCCAAGACGGCCCAAAATCAGCCCCAAGAAGGGTCCAAGAGGGAGAACACGAACCGAAAATCCGAGTCTTCCGCCCCATGAGGCACCAAGAACGCCCCGAGAGGCCCGGCGCGACATCCCAACGAACATCCTCGAGCCCTGTGACACACAACCTGGGCACGGTGGCGGGATGGGCCGAAGGTCATTCGGTCCGCCGCCTCCTGTTGGCTTGCAAGGGTGCCCGGCGTGCTGAACCCTATCGCTCTTGGCTTTGGTTCTTCTTCCACAAGAATAATCGAAGACGCCTACGGCGAATCACCCCCGCCCCCTGCCTTTTTGGAAGCGCCTATGTGGCCGAACGTTGAGGCCAGACCTGCCAAGCTATCGGACCATGTGCTCCCCGAATCGGTTTGGAAAGCCTTCGGGGAACACGTGGGTATCTTGAAGGTCATCTTGGCCGTCTGGAGGCCATTTTGACCCTTTCGGGCCTTCTTGGAGGACGTCTTGGAGGGCTCTTGGGCCGTCTTGGAGGCCATCTTGAGCGTTTTGGAGGCCTCTTGGGCCGTCTTGGGCGATCTTTGGGGGCACTTGGGCCGTCTCGGGCCGTCGGAAGGCCCCAAACAAGCAAATGCCATAATCAATAATTTTGGCCTTTTCGGGCCTTTCTGGAGGCCCTCTTGGAGGCCTCTTGGGCCGTCTTGGGCCATCTTAAGGCCATCTTCGGCCGTCTTGGTGGGCTCCTGGCACGTCTGACGCCGTCGGGAGCCGTCTTGGGGGCCTCTCTCGGCCGACTTGGGGCGCTTCGGGGCCGTCTAAGAGGCCATCTTGGAGGCCTCTTGGCCCGTCTTGGGGCCCTCGTGGGGCCGTCTTGGGGGCTTCTTGGGCCGTCATGGGGCCATCTTTTGATTGTGATGGAGATCTCGTGGGGGGTTCAGCTCAGCATGTCGCCTTCCCCGCAGCCTTTAAGGCTCAGTTGCGGGAGGGCGGGATTTATACGACAGGGCGAGTTGCGCCCCCAGCCGCGGCATCTGGCCGCTGCGCATGTGCTGGAGCAAAAGGGTGCTCCTCTCTCAGAACGTAGACTTCTACGACGTGACGGGCTCTGGGGAGCCCGCGGATTCAGATTGGTAGCGGAGCCGTTTGACCACGGCAATGGCGAGTGGAACGTCTTCGGGTGGTGCAGCGGCCAGCGCCGCTGGTGGACTTCGCCTCGACGTTCCCACCTGGGATGGAGAGCCCGACAAACTACTGTCGTACCGGTTCGACGTCGGGCTCTTCACGAAGAGCCACAAGCTCCAAGACAGGTATGTGGTGGGGCCCCAGCTGGTGCGCTCGCTGGGAGCCAGGGCGCGCCGACTGGCGCAGGCATGCCCCGACATCGAGAGGATCGACGATGTCTCCGATAGCGGCAAGCTCGACGGCTGGCAGCGCGTCTTCGAGTTTCTCCTCTCGAAGCTCGACCTGTCCAACGTGAGCGAGATGGGGAACTCAGCGGAGAAGCTCTTCAACAAGCTGCAGCAGGAGGTCGGGGGGGGCTTCCCCGACTGGACGGCGCGCTGGGAGGCCCACGAGCGGGACCTGTTGGCGCAGCTGAAAGCGGTGGACGGCGCCGTGACGGAGGTCATCGCGGGACCGCTGCGGACGTGGTGGTACTTGCGGCGATCGCGGCTGTCACTAGTCGCGCGCGGCGAGATCACCGCCGTGGCGGGCGGCGACTACGACTTCGACCAGACATACAAGGCGCTGTGCGCGAGGCATCCGCTGGATGCGCTGAAGGAGCTCGACGGGGCCCGCGAGAAGAAGGACAGGCGCGCGGGCTTCTACGGCGAGGCCGACGACAACGACGTCGACCACAACGACGGTGACCGGTCCGAGCTCGCGGACATCGTGGATCAGCTGGTGACTCTGGCCGACGAGGACGACGCGATGATGCTGGACGACCTGGGGGACACCGAAGAGGGCGAGAACGGCATCTACGCGGAGTTCAAGCAGATGGGGAGGAACTTCAAGGACATGAGGGACCTCATCAGGCGCCTGAAGGTGGCGCGGGACTACTACCCTGTTCTGGCACCTCGACCTCCTGACGGACCTCCTCGCCCTCGAGCTGCTCGGGACCAGCCGCGCAAGCCGCGTGCTGACGGTGAGAAGGAGCCTGTGCGTGACATGCGCAGGATGAGGTGCTTGGCCTGCCGCAAGTTCGGCCACCAGGCAAAGGACTGCCCAGAGAGGAACAAGACGCGCGGCAGGCCCCAGCCCAACGAGACCACCTCGTTCGCGCTCCTCGAGCTTGGGGAGCTGGTCCTCCTCCTGGACGACGATGGCGGCATCTGGGCGATCCTGGACTGCGGCGCTACTCGGAGCCTGATCGGGGTCACGATGGCGGAGAACCTTGCCTACGACATGAAGGAGAGGCACGACATCAACTTCGACTTGGCGGAGCTGACGCGGTACTTCACCTTCGGCGACGGCAGGCGCAAGAGCTCGATGGGGGCCGTGACGGGCGACATCTTTCTCGGCGACGGGCTGGAGAATATAGAGATCTCCATCATGGACAATGAGGTGTCGCTGCTGATCGGGATGGACATTCTCGGACCTGCCTGCGCTAGCGCCCTGATCGACTGCGGGAACGGCTACATCATGTTACCGAAGACCTCAAGCAACATCTTCCAGTGCCGGAAGATGTCGAGCGGACGCCTGGCGATCAACGTGACGACTCCGACGTGGTGGCAGCACGTCCCTCGCGGCATCCCGAACATCACCGAGCCGCACAGCGAGAAGGCCCTGGTGGATGTCAGCGACCTGCCCGAGGCCAAGGTCGGGGCCGAGCTGACGGGCTCGGCGGAGCTTCTGTCGGGCGCGGCTGTCATGCCCTCGAGCTAGGGACAGCGCCCCCGGGTGGACTTGAGAAAAACACCTTCGCCTCGTCCATTGGGGGGGGGGCCCGAGAAGATTCCTGGTGATGGCAGCTCCCGAGAAAGCCACCTAGCCCCCGAGAAGGCCTCCATAGGAGCCAGGACTCCAGTACGCCGGGACGAAGCTCGGAGGCCTCCAGATTCTCCGAGAAGATCCCCCCTCTAACCTCTCGTCTTTCGGATCCCTCTACTGCGCCTACGACGTCCCCGGCGATGACTTCTACGACGCCGAAACCGAAGCCACCTTCGCGGACATCTTGGGAGACATCTTCGGGTACCCTGAGAGCCTCTACGAGACATGCGAGGACCCACCTGGAGACACCTCCACAAGGCCCTCAGAATTCTGCTCCCGAAATGACGGAACATCCTCCTGAGACTCCTCCGGATCCTGATGCTTGTGCTGCGTACCGAGCGCTTTCGGCTCACGAGGCAATGCGTTCAGATAATCTTCATAACCTTCCATATCCAATGGATGACATGCCGCCATGGCACGGGCACGTCGCCCTCGGGTGTGCCACCGCCGCCTTCGGCTTCAGCGCCGCGTCCTGCATTTCGCAAGACAACTCCATTCAGTCAGAAGCTGCCGACGTCGTTGACGGCTCAGGTGCAGGCCGACGCCCGTGCTCTTCAAAGCGAGTTCGCTTCTGTGTCCCCGAAGGATGTGGCTGCCAACGCTTCGGGAACGAATCCTGCGGCTACCTTGGTACAGGCGGCAAGGTCTGGAGCGACGGGGTTTCAGAGATGCGGCTGCCGCGGCCAGCCGGGGCGCAAGCGGAACGGATGTTCATGCATGGGCGGAATGTCACGCAAGTGCCTCCTGCTGGAAGAGGGGGAGCCGTCCACCAGCATCCTCGACGGGTGCCAGCCTCCATGTCGGAAGAAGCAGCAGCCACAGGAAGGGGCAGTACCAGCACATCCAGGCTGGATACCTCTCAACGGGCTGACCAGGGAGGAGGTGGCCACTCTACGCTGGAGGCGGCTGCTAAACGAGATCCTGAAGAGGCGGCGAGCGAGCCCTCATCGGAGTCTTTCGAGGTGTTGGACGACTCAGCCGACAGGGAGACAGCGACCAAGAGGGGGCACGAGCAGCTCTGAAGCACGAGGACCTCGACGTCTTGCAGCAAGCTATCGACCAGTACGACCTCGGCTACAAGCAGGAAATCGGGGACGACATCAACTTTCTAGTCCGCCAGGGCCGATGCGACCTCATGGAGGTCTGCGCGCCGCCTACTTCTGCATTGACTCAGGCGGTGATCGACCAGGGCGGGCTCGCCTTTCGCGCTGGAGTGCACAACGGTTTCAACGTGGCGACCAAGACCAGAGTTCGACGCCTGGCTCTTTGGATACGCCAACACCGGCCCCGACGTATCGTGATGAGCCCCCTCTGCACTGCGGACTGCCAACTGCAGAACTGGGACCAGAAGACCGTGGAGGACCGATAGAAGCTTCGCAGGAAGGTGCAGAAGGCCAGGCGGATACAGGCAGGATGCGAGACCCTCCTCTCCATCGGGCTGCAGTACCACGGGGCGGGGGTCGACCTCGAACAGCCTCAAAGTTCACAGAGCTGGTCACGATCTGCTTCTCTGCAGCGCATCAAGGAGCAGGCCTGCGAGACGCTGGTGTCGGGATGCGCCTACGGACTACGTTGCCCTCGCAGCGGCTTGCTGCTGCCCAAGGTCTGGAAGATCTGCTCCACGGATCCCGAGTTACAGAAGGCCATTGGCAAGAGGTGCAGTAACCGTCCAGGTCGACATGACAACCACGAGCACGGCGAGATCATATGCGGCAAGGTCGTGGCCTCGACGGCGTTCTATCCAGCTGCTCTGTGCAAGGCCTGGGCGAAGCGCATCCTTCGCGCAGGAGGCGGATCTGCAGCTGGCTCTCAGGCACTCCTCACTTGCGACAGCGTGGAGGACGAGCCGATCTACGTTGACATCGCAGAGGACGACGACGTCGAGCCTGATGACCAGGCCGAGTCCGACGAGCAGATCTACGCGGACATCGCGGGGGACGACGACGTCGAGCCTGAACACCAGGCCGGGCCCGACGACGAGCTCGACGGCCAGGAGCTGGCCAAGGACGGAGGCCGCCTGAGCACCAAGGAGGAGCAGGAGATCGAGCACCGCCTCGGCCGGCTTCATCGCAATCTCGGCCATCCCAGCGCTTGGGCGATGGTGAAGATCCTGAAGAACTCGGGTGCCAGCCTCCAGGTGCTGAAGATGGCGAAGAACTTCATGTGCCACGCCTGCAACTCCTCCGTGCTGCCGAAGGCCGTTCGGACCGCTGCAGGCATCGAGATCCCCGAGGTCTTCGAAGTAATGGGCAGTGACGGCTTGGAGTGGACCGACCAAGGACGACGCGATCTACCTATTGACTCTCAACCTTGACGAGGGGTCAGGTCTCGCGCTGGTCACCAACCACGGCGACAAGTCCCAGCGGTCCGGCAACTGGTCCGCCGCCGACGTCGTCGAGACCTGGCGCTCCTGGGCCGACCACTACCGAGCCCCGCGGCTTATCCGATGTGACGCTGAAGGATGTCACCGTGCCGAGTTGACCAAGGGTTGGTGCAGCTCTCGTGGCATCGAGATGTTCATCGCTCCTGGCGAGGCCCACTGGCTCATGGGCATGGTCGAGCGGCGCATCCAAATCTTCAAGAGGACGCTCACCAAGTTCTGGAAGCAGAACTACGACTGCGACGTCGACGAGGCCATCAGCCAGGTCATCCACGCCATCGACGACCTCGACAAGGTGGGGGGCCATTACACCTACGCAAACGCCTTCGGCATCGGTGGCGCCCAGGGTTCGAACAACCCCTTCGCCATCATCGACGACGGGAGCGGCGAGAGCAGAGAGCAACGGCGCCTCACTGCCAGACAATCCTTCATTGAGGTAGAGTACTCGGAACGTCGTCGCCATGCCGAACAGGCATGCAGCCGCGTCACTACTCACTGGCACACCGGCGAGCACTGCTACTACTGGCGGAGGGCCGCGGACCCGTCATGGCCACGTGGTACGGCCCAGCTCGAGTCCTGGTACAAGAGCAACGGATTCTGGCGGGCTCCTCGAGGCCTACTTCGGTGATTTGGATTTCACACGGCCACGTTCTCCTACGCTGCGCGCCCGAGCAGTTGCGGCCCGCCACTGGGGCCGAGCGCATGGTCGTCGAGCTGGCCAACATGGAGAAAAGAGGCGCTTCCATGTCGGACCTGATGGAGGTGGCTCTGCGCGGGACCTTCGAGGACCTCACCAACGAGAGCCGTCCAACCATCCAGCACTTCGAGCCTCAGACGGTCATGCCTCCCGAGACGCAGGCAGACACGACCGCAGACGAGCCGATGGAGGATGAGGCACCTGGCCTAGAAGCTGACGCTCCAGGATCTCCGGAGCCTGCAGGTGAGCCTACCACCCCTCCGACGCCCTCCAGCATCTCGACCATCGAGCAGTCCGCGCTCAAGCTTCCTCGACTCTCTCCGCCTGAGGAATCAACGCCGACGCCTGAAGAGGGCCCCCCTGGTCGCCGATGGCGCATGTACTCCGAGGAGAGCGAGGGCACCTACCGTCAGTCACCCGCTGAACGACGCGCCAACCGACCAGGGCCCTACTCCGACACGAGGGGCCAGGACAGTGTGGACCAGGCGAACAGCGAGGACGATCTCTTCGTAGATGTGAACACGCTCAGCGAGTCTGGGCTCGCCGGGCTCGCCGACTTCGAGTTCCTTGACGAGAACATGACGGTCTACTTCGAGATGCTGAAGTCCGAGCTCACGGACAGCCAAGGAGGCCGCCGCCTCACTTCCCAGATGGTGGACTGCTTCGTCGCCAACCCGAAGCGCAAGGACAAGATTGAGTTCCACTGGGGTAAGTTATCACCCTCGGAGAAGGTCGAGTTCCGGGCTGCCATGACGAAGGAGGTGACTAAGTGGAACCAGTACAAGGGACTACGGCCGGTGCCCGCCTCGGAGGTGAAGGATCCCGCGGGTGTGATCAAATGCCGCTGGGTGCTGCCGCGGAAGGCCGACGGGGCCGCGAAGGCCCGTCTAGTCCTCCTCGGCTACCAGACCAAGGACATCGGGAAGGAGCCGACTGCTTCACCGACGGCGTCCAGACGTGCCAGGAACATCCTGCTCACCATCGCGGCCGCGAACCACTGGAACGTCGTCGAGGGCGACGTGACCAGCGCCTTCCTCCAGGCCTACGACCTCGAGAAGGACCTGTTCGTTGAGGCCGACGAGGCCCTTCCTCCGCCTTCGGCGTTCAATCTGGTGAAGTACTTCGGGTAATGAAGCCAGGCTGCGGCATCGGAGAGGCTCCAAGGTGGCTCACGGTCAAGTCGGACTTCTCCAAGCTTGGACTGCAAGCCTGCGACCTCGAACCGTGCCTCTGGTGTCTGCGATGCCCTTCGACGAAGGAGCTCATCGGGTTGGTCATGTTCCACGTGGACGACTTCATTCTCTGCGGCGATCGAGGACATTCATCCTGGAAGTCTGCCATGAAGGGCATCAAGGAGCTCTACGCGTGGGGCACCTGGGAGGACATGGAGGAAGGAACCAACTCCATCGAGCAGTGCGGCGTCATGATCGAGTCCAACGAGAAGGGGTTCTTCCAGCATCAGCGGGCCTACATCGACAAGCTCGAGGAGATAACGCCCAAGTGCCCCAAGGCGCGCTCCAATGACATGCTGACCGAGGCCGACCAGAGTACTCTTCGGACGTGATGTGGTGCACTGTCATGGCTTGGCGTGAATACTGTACCCTGGGTGTCAGCCTGGGTCGAGGACGTGCAGGGCAAGATTCCCGACGGCGGTTACAAGCTCTTCAACATCGCGAACAACATTACCAATCTGGTCAAGGCCAACCGGAACGGCGGGATTCAGATCTTTCGTCGTGCCTTACCTGGCTGCCAGAACGGGCCTCCTGATTTCCGTGTGTACACCTGGTGCGACGCTGCCTGGGCTAGCCGACCTGACGGTTATTCTCAAGGCGGACACGTGACAGCTCTGAGCTCAGCCGAGACACCGTTCCACGACGTGACCAACTTTACTGTTCTGCACTGGGGGTCGCGCAAGCTGAAGAGGGTCGCCCGTTCTAGCCTTGCTGCCGAGATCCAGGAGGCCAGCGACGCCGAGGGCGAGCAGATGATGGTGAGGCTGGTTCTCTACGAGGTGCTCTTCGGACCTTTCGACCTCCACAACCGCCAGCGGGCCCTGCAGGAGGTGCCGGCTACCCTCGTGACGGACTGCAAGGCCTTCTACGACGGCGTCGTGAAATCAGAGTCGGCCGGGCTCGGACTGGACGAGAGGAGAACGGCTATCGAAGTCCTGGCTCTTCGACGTGCTCTCGAGGAAGGTGGTACTTCAGTTCGCTGGGTGCACAGCCATGCTCAGCTAGCCGATGGTATGACCAAGACCAGCCTGCAGGCGTTCAACGTGCTCCACGCCTTCTTGAAGCACCAGCGTTGGAATATTGTTCATGATGAGCGATTCCTTTCGGCTCGGAAGAGGTCGGCGCTCGGGAAAGGAATCTTCGACGAGACGAATGAGCTGGACCACTCCCAAACCAAGGAGATCCTGGAGAGCAGGAAGCGGGACCGCTCCTCGACCAAGCAGACGGCATCTGGAGGTGCCGAGACGGACATGCTGGAGCTGATCTCTTTTCCCCTGTTTGATTGTGATGGAGATCTCGTGAGGGGTTCAGCTCAACATGTCGCCTTCCCCGCAGCCTTTAAGGCTCGGTTGCGGGAGGGCGGGGTTTATACGACAGGGCGAGTTGCGCCCCCGGCCGCGGCATCTGGCCGCTGCGCATGTGCTGGAGCAAAAAGGTGCTCGTCTCTCAGAACGTAGACTTCTACGACGTGACGGGGTCTGGGGAGCCCGCGGATTCAGAATCTTGGAGGCCTCTTGGGCGATCTTGGGGCGACCTTGGGGGTCTTTTGGGCCGTCTTGGGCCGACGGAAAGCCGAAAAGACGCAAATGCCAAAATCCTTCAAACACTTTAGGAAAATACGTGATTTTCGCCTCTTCGGGCCTTCCTGGAGGGCCTCTTGGAGGCCTCTTGGGCCGTCTTGGGTGCATCTTGGGCCGTCTTGGAGGCATCTTGGGGCCATCTTAGCCGTCTTGGAGGCATCCTGGAGGCCATCTTGGGCCATCCTGGCCGTCTTGGAGGCCATCTTGGGCGTCTTCGAGGCCTCTTGGGCCGTCTTGGGGCCCTCTTGTGGCCGTCTTGAGGGGCCTCTTGGGCCGTCATGGGGCCATCTTGGAGGCCTCTGGGCGATCTTGCGGCGACCTTGGGCCGTCTTGGGCCGTCGGAAAGCCGAAAAGGCGCAAATGCCAAAATCTTTCAAAATCTGAAGAAAACTACGTAATAATTTTCGCCTCTTCGGGCCTTCCTGGGGGACCTCTTGGAGGCCTCTTGGAGGCCTCTTGGGCCGTCTTGGAGGCCTCTTGGGCCGGGCCATCTTGAGGCCATCCTAGGCCGTCTTGGGTGCATCTTGGGCCGTCTTGGAGGCATCTTGGGGCCATCTTAGCCGTCTTGGAGGCCATCTTGGCCGTCTTGGAAGCATCTAGGAGGTTATCTTGGGCCAACTTGGAGCCGTCTGGGGCAAGAAAACCCACGGCAACCACCGCTGGAAGAGCCTCCCGGGACCCCGGCGGGACGCGCCGAAGGCCCAGGGGGAGTTCGTTTGGAAACAAAATCAAATTCAAAACCGAGAGGGTCTAGCACGCCAGGCACCCCTGCGATGAATCGACAGGGGGCGGCGGATCCCCTGGGCCTTCGGCCCGTCCCGCCGGCCACTCAGAAGGCCCGGACTTCTCATGGCCTCCAAGACGGTTGCGATGGCCCCAAGATGCCTCCAAGACGGCCCAATATGCATCCAAGACAGCCTAAGACAACCTCAAGATTGCCCAAGACGGCCCAGGAGGCCCCAAAGAGGCCTCCAAGACGGCCCAAGAGGCCTCCAAGAGATCCTCCAGAAGGCCCGAAGAGGCCAACATCATTGATTTTCCTCAGGTCTTTGAAGGATTTTGGCATTTGCTTTTCTTCGGCCTTCCGACGGCCCGAGACGGCCCAAGAGCCCCCAAAGGTCGCCCCAAGATTGCTCAAGAGGCCTCCCAGATGGCCCCAGAACGGCCCAAGAGACCCCGAAGACTGTCCCAAGAGGGCCCCAAGACGGCCCACGGGGCCTCCAAGACGCCCAAGATGGACTCCAAAACGGCCCTGGAGCACCCCAAGAGGGCCCCAAGTCGGCCCAGAGAGGCTCTCAAGATGGCTTCCGAGGGCGTCAGACGGGCCAGGAGACCACTAAGACGGTCCAAGATGGCTCCAAGATGGCCCAAGACAGCCCAAGAGGCCCCCAAGAGGTCTCCAAGACGGCCCAAGAGGCCTTCAAGAGATTCTCCAGGAAGGCCCGAGGAGGCCAATCTCATTGATTTTCCGCAGGTCTTCGAGGGATTTTGGCATTTGCTTCTCTTCGGCCTTCCAACGGCCTGGGACGGCTCACGAGCCCCCAAAGATCGCCCAAGAGGCCTCCAAGATGGTCCCAGAACGGCCCAAGGGGCCCCGAAGACTGTCCCAAGAGGGCCCCAAGACGGCCCATGAGGCCTCCAAGACGCCCAAGATGGCCTCCAAGACGGCCCTGGAGCACCCCAAGAAGGCCCCATGATTTCTCTTAGGTTATTGAGGGATTTGTGCATTTGCTTCTTTCCGATCTTCCGACGGCCCGAGACGGCCCAAGAGCCCCAAAGATCGTCCCAAGAGGCCCCGAAGACGGCCCCCAGAGGGCCCCAAGACGGCCCAAGAGGCCTCCAAGACGCCCAAGATGGCCTCCAAGATGGCCCTGGAGCATCCCAAGAGGGCCCTAAGACGGCCAAAGACGCCCCCGAGAAGCCCCAAAGGCCTGCAAAAGGCTCCCAGGAAGCCCCAATGAGGCCCCAAGAGTGCCTCCCGAGGCTCCCAAGATGCCCCATCCTCCTCCTCCTGATCTTCCCCGCCATCCTCCCCCAAGTGTTCCCTGAACAGTTGCTACAAGGGCTGGGGGAACACATGGTCCGACAGCTTGGCAGAGCTCTTGCCACAACGCTCGGCCACATTGGCGATTCCAAAAGGCCGGTGGCGGCGGTGATTCGCCGTAGGCGTCTTCGATATCCCCGTCCAACCAGCAAGGCAGCGGGGCCAACCTGACGTCATTGATCAAACCTCGGCAGGAGAGCGGCTGGCGTAGCCCGACTACCTACTGTAATACATCCACCACCATCGTTACTGCCACTACAAACGTTACCACGTGTACAGTTGTTGTTGGATATTGCCTCCTCCATGACCTGTTGCTCGTTTTTTTGTCCGGCGACCCGTATTTCTCAGTGCACCACTCACTGCGCATCACCTGCTGCGTACTACCAACTTCTACTTACCTACGACCCGCCACCACCACCTGGTACAACCTGAGACCTACTACTTACTACCTGACACCTGCGAGCTACAACACACTGCCTACGACATACTCGCCTTATTTACCGATTGCCAGCTACGAAAAATCATACGCTGCTGCTGCTGGCTCTGGTCCCCAGAGCTTCCGTTGCTTCACCTCCCTTGCTTCTCGTGTTCGCCATCCTCACCCTCCTCGTCTACCTCGTCTTCCTCCTGTTCTGTACCGTCATTATCACACTCGGCATCAACGTCGTCGCCCCCATCCTCGCCGTATTGATTTCCAGCACCGTCAGGAAAAAACAACATGCTCACCCTCCTCGCATTCCTCATCACCATCCTCATCACCATCACCATCATCATCATCATCATCATCATCATCATCATCATCATCACCATCATCATCACCATGGTCATCCGTCGCCTCCTCCTGTGCTCTATACTCCCCTTCCCCGCCCCTTCGTCCATCATCGTGACATCCCTCACTCCCTCCCTCCCTCATTCCACCCAAGTTCGTCCATCCTCCCTCATCTCTCTTCCCTCCGCCTTCTCCTCCTCCTCTCATCCTGTCCCTCTTGAGGGCTCCAGCGAATTGCGCTCCTCTCTTTTTCGTCCCTCTCTCCTTCTCCTCGTTCTCCTCCTCCTCCTCCTCCTCCTCCTCCTCCTCCTCCTCCTTCCATGTTCCAACCCCCCCTGCCGAATCGATCGCGCACCTTGTGCAGGCGTCCCCACATACCTGATACCGTACTTCCGCTACGGCCAGGCCCCCCGCGGCCATCTCGCCCACACTCTTTTTGCGAATTGCGATGCGTCAATGCTCAGATTTCTCTCGATGCTGAGCTTCCTTCATTGGAATGCTATGA